ACTTTTATCTGTTCTGTTTTTCCCCCTTACACACAAAAGCACATTAAACACCTAAAAACAAATAAGCAATCAAGTCCATGCTTTTCTCCTAAACTACAGATCAGTTTGCAGTTACCAGTGGATGGTGAGTTTATTGGAGTGTTATGATCAAGAGAGAAGACTTTGGTTGCTATTTTAGTACATTGCCATGGAAGATGAAAGACTAGCTGGTTTCCTGGGTCTATAAATTTGAGGTGTGTTGCAACCATCCATTGTATCAGATGAGTCAACAATCTATGTTGCATTACTGTTTCCTTTGGAACTGTTGCATATCTCTGTTCAGGCATGTGTTCTCCTACTTAAAACCCAAGGAAAGGACCTGATATTGTAACAGTTTGTACTCTTTGGACCCAGGGTCCCTTGTCTTCTGTTGCCTTTAGGTCATAGCAAGCATTCAGGCAACCCACAAATTAGAACTAGTCTTAGGAACATAACTTGTGTGTGTGTGTGTGTGTGTGTGTGTGTGTGTGTGTGTGTGTGTGTGTGTTTGATACCTTCATTGCTTTGGGGGTGGGGGGCAGGTGATCAGGAGCTCTTGGGGGGGGTGGGCCAACTGCCTCTTCACCACAGGCTTCTGGCTGTGCAGGATGGCATTGGCTCTGCCAGTGGCAGCCATGCGCACATCAAGGCGGTACTTATTTTTGAGGACCACGTACCTGATGCTGCTGAGGGCTGCCTGGGCATTCTTGTTAATGGGCTGCACGTAGGAGGTGTCAGGTTTTTGCTGGTTGGATCCCCGCTTCATGACTACCACTAGACCTTTGCCATCCGCTGCGGGTCAACACCCACAGTCTTGCTGTGAATCACCCCATTGTAGAGGAAGGAATTGTGAGCCTTCAGGTTATGGGCTTCATGCTATGTGTCTGCTCACTCCTCTTCATCAGGAAGCTGGAGCAGTTCGGCACCACCATCCATTGAAAGTGGGAGGACATGGCAGCAGAGTCAGAAAGAGCCGGAACATGACTTTATGAAGATGCCATAGCAGTATATTTCCTATACATGCCTTCTACAATGCTGGCGCTCTCGAGCAGATATTCTGGGGTCTTTGCTCCTTGGTCAATTCTAACTTATTTTTACAGAATAAGGAATGCAATCTGCTATTTGTTTGAATCCTCAAATTACCATTTTTATTATGCTGCTAATTTTTTTCTAAACTCATAACCACTGTAATCCTTATGAGCTAGTATAACATCTTAACTTGCTATACATTCTCCCTTCCCCAGTCCAAACTCTACTTTATAAATGAGGAAAACATGGAGCCACTCAGGAACCAAGGGATAAAAGGTATTTTACAAAAATGTAACTTCACATAAATGTGATGCCTGCAAACTTTGTCTTGAAGAAGTTCATCAAAAGGCAGTTAAACAAAGCAGCAGGTACCTGCCACATTGAGCTCTACTGGGAACAGAATGAAGACAGTCCAGCCACAATCCCAGCTCTTCTCTCACATAACCCTTTAATGGGTTAAGAAGCGGGCTCTTGACTATGACCTTGAGCAAGTTACTCTCAGTCTCTTGCTATCTCTGTTACCTCACCTGTAAAATGGGTATAACAGTAGTACCAACATCATTTAGTGCTTGTAAGCATTAACCCAGTTCATGTAAAATTGCACTAGCCGTGCCTGGCATGTAGTGAGCCCTCAGTAAACGTTAGTTGTAATCATTATCATTCCAACGTATTATTTTTTAAAAATCATCTTCCTAGCTAATTAGTATCCCTGCAACTGTTTTTGTAAAGGAGTTTCTGGGGCCTGATTTTATGACAGATCAACAGCATCCTCTTCCCCATTGGAATGATTCTGAGCCATCTGAAAACAGATGGATTTTCCTCAAATAGATTCTTTCTGACCACTCCTATTTTGAAGATTATTTTTAGAGCAGTTTTAAGTTCATAGCAAAATTGAGGCAAGGGTAAAGAGATTTCCCATATACCCCCTGCTCAGACACATGTGTAGGGTCCTCCATTATCCACATCCCCCACCAGAGCGGTACATTTGTTGCAACTGATGAACCTACATTGACTCATCAGAATCACCAGAGTCCACAATTTCCATTACAATTCACTCTTGGTGTTGTACATTCTGTGCCTTTGGATATTTGTATACATTTAAAGATATGAATGTTCTGTTCCCACTCCAAGTGTGTATACTGCAGAACAGTGCTGACGCTCACTACCTGGAGTTAAACTCCAGGTTTAAGAGCCCTGCCCTCACTTCAGACACCAGCTGCATGCCTCAGAGCTACCTGCACTTCTGACCTATACGTTCAGAGATTTCTGTGACCCTCTAGCTTTCAGTAATCATCTAGAACAACTCAGAGAGTTCACTGAAAGTGCTGTATTTGTGATTACAGGTTTTTAAAAAAAAAAATTTTAATGTTTATTTATTTTTGAGGGAGAGAGAGAGAGAGAGCATGAGCGGAAGTGGAGAAGGGGCAGAAAGAGAGACACACACAGAATCCAAAGCAGGCTCCAGGCTCTGAGCTGAAGTCAGATGCCTAACCAAGTGAGCCACACAGGCACCCCATTACAGTTTTATTAGAAAGCCTGCCTACACATAGAGACATAGAGCAAGGTCTGGAAAGGCCCTGTGTCCGTGGAGTCAGGACACATCACCCTCCTTTGCACATCGTGTGTCCACCAGCCAGGGATCTCCAGAGTTTTCACTGGGATTTCATGACATAGGTGTGATTGATTGAATCACAGGCCATGGGACTGAAATTAATCTCCAGTCTCCTTCCCCTCCCAAACTGCCATCCTACAGCTATCTAGAGGCTTACCCTGAGTCACCTTGTTAGCATGATAAAGACACTCCTCTCTCAGGAAATCCCAATGGCTTTGAAGCTCTGTGCCAGGAACCCAGGACAAAGACCAGAGATATTCTTTGTTAAATGAGTATCTATATATGTATATATACATATATCTATCTATATCTATCTATATATGTATATATCATCATACATATATAACTCACATTAAGGCTGCACAGAATTTCCAAATATCATATTCCTTTATCGTTTACTAAAATTATATTAACAATAAGGTACTGGTTACCTTGTGCTGATCAGAACTTCTGCTTGGAAGTTACCATCTTTAATAATAAGGAACACAGGGGAAAATGAGTACATGTTTTGTAATAAATACAGATTAGCAGGCAAAATCACTCAAAGCATGAGGTCCATGGAGAAGAAACACTTAAAGGGATTCTTGATGGTGGAAAGGTTGGGGAAGGCTTATGTAGGGTGGAAACTTACTAACAGGAAAAATTAATCCCTGACAATGTGTTCTTGTGAGGAAGAGAGCACAACTTTTCTTCCCCACCCAACCCTTCCTCTCTTTCCCCGGAACAATATTGGTGCAGTTTGACACATGAGGACACAATGGTTCCATTTCCGCTGTGTAGCCCGGAGTAATGACACCAACAGTAGGGATGCCTAGGAGAGGTGCCATGTGCTAATGTGAGAGAGAATTAGGGAAAGTAATGCCTTTCTCTTCCTTTCCCATGGATGACACCAGCCCCGGGCTGTTGATGCTACTGGTCCTGGGTACAGAGAGTTGGTGAGAGCCCTGTCCAGTTCATGTATCTAATTTTGGTGGGGACATCCCACCTGACCTTTCTTTCCTGGTGTGTTTTCTCTTCCTAACCACACAGATCTAAAACATGTGTGGGAGAACACCTGTGTGACACACATGTGGTTGTGTTGAATTTCTCCTCTGATCTCCCTGCTTACTGCATCTCAGGGCTGGAGGATCTGGCTCTAAAACTGTTTTCATTGAACTAGACTCCTCACATCCCAAGGAGATGGGCATCATGCCTGATTAGGTGCTCTTCAACACGACTGCAACTTCCTGTCTGGTGTGTGTTTTAAGCCGTGTTCCCTAAAGCTTCTTTGGATAAATATTGGCACTCAGACAGTTGCAAAAATGGTCCTCTGCAGGAAGTTAATGAAAAACAGGTAAGACCTGGATTTCAAATCAAAACATTAGAGCCTTGTTTCAGGACAGAGTCTGGAAAGAAACACTGTCTAATCTGAGTGAGAAGAGAGAGGATTCACTGGCAATGAATGGACTGAGCATTAAAGAGCTGTCCTTCGCCACCCCCTGGCCCCAGGTCACCCGTGAAGGCCCCTCTTTCACACTTAATCATAATAAAAAGTGTAATTTGCCAAATCTATGAGTCGCTATTGGAGAAGCCTGCTAAATCACAGGCAAAGAGGAAAAGAAAAAGTTTTAGATTGAGAGCAAGCAATGTGAAGGGAAGAGAAAGAGGGAGACACAGAATCTGAAACAGGCTCCAGGCCCTGAGCTGTCAGCACAGAGCCCGACGTGGGGCTTGAACCCACGGACAGTGAGATCATGACCTGAGCCGAAGTCGGATGCTTAACCGACTTAGCCACCCAGGCGCCCCAAGCACAAGCATTTTAGAGTACAGAGCAAGAAGATTAATACAGACGGAGAGGTCTCACGTGCATTAGAAGAGAATAAGTCAAAAGGGCAGAAAATTCTCAATCTGTCCCTTCCTCCATTATCAGATTTTGCTCCTTTGGTTTCTAACCATTTGTGTTGGAGTAAATACTTCACCTGGGTTCTGAAGGCATGTTTAAATAGGTGTAGTGACAGTTCTGTCTGAACAGCATGTACAAAGCTGAAGAATGCATTAGTCAGATTTTTGAGGTATGACATGGAGCTCTGAAAAGGCACATAGTGGCATTTGAGAGTTATCAAAGAAAGCAAGACTTAGAATAAGAAGACATTTTTAATTCACTTATTCACTTAGCAAATATTTGCTAAGCATCCACTACGTGCCAGATACTTTTTTAGGCTCTGAAAATACAGAGAAAGAGAAATTTAAAAAACATGGAGCTTATGTGCCTCTGATTTTTATTAGGGAAGGTAGCTAATAAACTAAGAAGTAAATGTGTATTATATAAAATCGGTTTTAAGTACTCTGGAGGAAAGCAAAGATGGATAATGACAGTGATGGAGAGTGTGCTTTTTCTGCTCAGATATGTGAGCAGAAGTCAACATGGAGTGAGGGAGTGGGTCAGGAGAATATCTTGGGGAAGAGCATCCAGCAGAAGGAACAGCAGGTATAAAGCCTGAGATGAGATGTATCACCCCCTGAGGTGACAGGAGGGGGACAAGGAGTTTTGGGGAGGCATGACACTTCTGTTTTGGGGATCCTTCAAGGACCACAGAGAATCTCAGTAGTCCCAATAGCCTTTGTATAAACTCTTCAAGGAATTTCCATTATGTAGGTTTACTTTGCATTAGGAAGAGTTCTTAGATCTGTAGCAACTTGTTAGGATTGTCACTTCCCAAACACACACTTGTACAAAACTCATAAAATAACGCATGTAGCCATCATGTTATGTGGGCATTAATGGCCTTGGCCACAGACACAAGAAATGTTCTTTCTGTAATATTACAAACAGTAAACGTCCCTGATCTCGGTCCCTCATGGGTGGATTTCCATTCCCATAGAAGTGATGTGGGAGCAGACTGGGTGTCACCACTACATTCCCAACATCCTGCCAAACCAGTGCCATTTTCTAGCTGGGTACCCATTTTAGAAGATGTAGATGATGCAAGATTCCCCAATCCAATAAGTCAGCTTCCCTGTATCTTCCAGAATCTTCCAGAGTTATACGGCAGGTCCCTTTGACAGAAGTGTCTCTCCTGGAGGATGAAGTCGGATATATACTTCATCTAACTGAGGATGTGGCCAGCATAGCCATACTAGTCTTCCACTCTCTGTGGCTCTTGGCCAAGCAGAGTTTGGTCAAGAACTGTTAGCTAAGTTTAAGTTAAACCTGACTGATTGTGGATTAAAAGTGTAATCTTCAAATACTGCTACTAAATAACTCAAAAGAAGATGAATATAAATTATTTATAATCCACTTCAAATAAGGAAAATTATTCTGAGAAAGAAGTTTGTGTTGATAAAGACTTTTGGGAGGCTCAGTGTTTCAGACTCAATCCAGTTAGTTAGGTTTGCTGCCTTCACCAAAGAACCCCTGAGTGCTTGGAGAGACAGTTAGAAAGACATAACGGAGTCACTGGACACATCCCTGGTTCACCAGGCTTCCACCCTGGCTTCTGGAACCAGCTTTGAAAGATCTGGAATAGCCTGTGGTACTGAAAGTGGCCACTAAAATATTTCTAACATATTCCAGATTTCCTAGGATACAATGGTCACTTTGATCTCTGAACTACTGATGATTGAAGGAAGCAATTTCATCAGGCAGCCAATTGTGTTGTGTACATCTTGGAGAAATTCCACACCTTGGGATGTCATCATCTTGCTTCCATTTTCTTCCAGCAAACTCATTCATAGTTATTTATTAAGCCCCTATCTGAAGACTGGTACTGGGCTAGAGCTGGATACAGTGTAGTGAGTAAAACAAAAGGTCTCTGCCCCTTGGAATTTTATGTCAGAGGAGAAAGAGGTGCAGATATAAACGGTGAGAGATAATACTGAAAGCTGAGTGCCCTAAGCGGGGAGGGTTGCTGAGATGGAGACCAACAGGAGAGGACCCACTCAGGTCAGGTGGCCAGAGCTGGCTTGTCAAAGAAGATAGCCTTTAAGCAGAGGAATGAAGGCAGAAGAACATTCCAGATAAAGGGGATAGCACAAACAAAGACAGTAAGATGAAGAAGAATTCAACACATGTCAGCTGGGCTCTCAGAGAACTGAGGTGTGCTAGACAAAGGGGAGAGTAGCTCTGGGTGGTAAGGATGAAGAGGGGAGTTGGGTCAAGCCACGCAGAGCCATGGGGCTGACTGACACAGAGCCCTTGGCTGCTTGTGGGAGGTGGTGGGAGGTGGGCAATGGAAGGAAGGGAGACCGCTGCAGATGTCCATGTCCAGGGCAATGGTGATGGTGACTTGGACAACAGTAGGGGCAAGGAAGATGGGGAGAAAAGAAGGCAGGTATGGATCTTTCCTCAGTTGAGTGAGACAAGTAGAAATGCATACATGTCCTCTGGACTTCTTGGATGCACTTCAGACGAAGCCATGATGTCACTGGCTTCTCTCAATCACCGGAGGCCACCGATCCCTGCTTCTCCCACCCCCTGCTTCTCTCTGCTGCCCCTGGGTGGGAAACACTCCAGCAGTGGTGATGGGGAGCCTGTTGTTTACAGGGATACCTGCTGTATTTGTTTCCTGGGGCTGTTAACAAAGTTTCACAAACTGGGTGTTTTAAAACAAGAGACGTGTATTCTCTCACAGTTCTGGGGGCTGGAAGTCTGAAATCAGGGTGTCCATAATGCCATGCTTTCTCTGAAATCTGAAAGGGGATCCCTCCTTGCCTCTTCCAGTGCCTGGTGGTTTGCTGGCAATCTTTGGCATTCCTTGGCTTTCAGCTGCACAGCCCCAGTCTCTGCCTTCACGGTCACATCACCTCCGACATGTCTCTGTCTTCACAGGGTTGTCTTCTAAGGACACCTGTCATATTAAAGTAGGGGCCCACCCTACTCCAGTATGACCTCATCTTAACTAATGACATTTTAGTCAGCTTACATCCAAATAAGGTCACATTGTGAAGTATTGTGCACTCGGTCCGACACATCTTTTTGGAGGGACACGATTCAACCCATAATACTTGCCTCCCTTGACCATATTTCATCTCAGGGCCCTTTACAATCAGCTTTCTTTGCTTTTGAAAACCAGCTTTAACTAGAAAAATTGAGTGAGAACCCCACATTTTCCAAGTCATGATTGCTTTATTTATTTATTTTTTTAGTCTACCCCACCTTCCTTTCTCTCATAAATCTTCATGACCCCAGAGACTGTTTTGACATTGAGCAAAGAGTGATCATTTCTCCCCAGCTTTTCAAGAGTTCCTGAGTCCTGGAAGTTTATATGAGGCATTTATTTGAAAGTTTAATTTTAGGATATGGCCTTTACAGGACTTTATGAAGTGATGAGTGATTTGGCTCTACCTCACCCTCAAAATGTACCTTGTAACAGCAGCTGTTCTTGCTCTGAAGCATTTGGCTTTAAATATGTTTCCTGTCAACAGGATTGCTGCCTTGTGTTTTTCTCTTTCATTCATCCTTCTGAATATACATGTTAAACTTCTTGCAAACCCAATACACTGGGTTTGAAGAAATAGGTACAACCGGGTTTCATGGTCAAGGACAGACTGACCTCTCTCGGGGCAGTGGGGGGGGAGGGGTGATGGGGGGAGGTGCCAGCAGACAGCTCTCCAGGCCCAGCTTGGCCACACCAATGGCTTCAAAGAATCAGGTGCTCTAGTGACCTCCAAAGGATAGTTCTAGAAGATCAGACAAGATGATACTGACATGAAGAAGACAGTTTAAATGAGATGCAGCCTAGCCTGGTAATCAGGAGCAGAAGCTGATGAGACTGTCCACTTCCTGGCTGGGTGAACTTGGACAAGTCACTCAACTATCGGTTTTTGCATTATCCGTAAATAGTATGTACTACACCTGCCTTACAAGCTAATTGTGAAAATTGAATGAGCTAATGCAGGAAATGTGCTTAGCACAGGACTGGCACACAGTAGCAGCAATTGTTTTTAATGTCAAGACCTCCTGTTATTTTCCCCCCTTTATTTAGACATTCCTTACTTTAATTTATTTTCCAACTGCTTTCAAGATCATTTCCCCTTTGGGGGAATCCGAAGGTCAAGTTTGAGAAAAGGGAAGAAACTAAATGTATTTAAAGAATGCGGAAATCTGATAAAACATTTTTTTTTTTATAAATAAAAAGACTTTGCTAAGTATCCGTGTCCTACACTAGCATGACACTTGGCTAGGGTGTCAGGGTTAGTGGAAATAAATGAAGTCAAGCCTTGAGTAGTAGTTTAAATATTAAGGAATTAAGCCTGCAAGGAAGCAGGCGATGCAAATAGTTTCGGTTGTCTGTAAAAATGCCAGCATTCCTGAAACAGTGAGCTCATCATCAAATTCTTCTTCCACCTCCCAGAAGAGAATCTATGGCTTGTTTACTCCTTTTGCTTTGGTTTTCTGGGCAGCTGAGAATGAAATAGAGCAGTGGTTCTCAAACTTTAGCATGCGTTAGAATCATCTGGAAGGCTTGTTAAAACACAGATCCCGAGTTAAAACACAGCCCCAGGGCTGACTCAGTGACTGAGGCTGATTCAGTAAGTTGATTCAGTAAGACTGGAATGGGGCCTGATAATCTGCATTTCAAACAAGTTCCCAAGTGGTGCAGATGTGGCTGATCTAGTACCTACACTTTGAGAACGGCTAATGTGGAATACTGTGATACATTGCGATATGGTGGAGAGCACAGGGCATTTTAGACACGAAAGCAGGCAGATTCAGATTCTCCAGCTGTCCTTAGCAGCAGTTATGTTAAGCAAATAACTTCTCTGAAATCAAGTTTCTTCCATTTTTAAATGGAAATACTGTAATAAAATCTACCTTGTTAAGGTCATTGTAAGACTGAAATAAATTGTAAAGCACTTTTGTTCATGGGCTGGCATGTGCTGGTTTAAAAGATTCTATTAATTTATTTTACTGTACAATTTTTTTTCATAAGTCATGTAAATATTCTTGAATGTTCCGGGCAACCAAGTCTATCAAATGAATAATACTGCTTATTTAAATAACTGAGGCATTCTGAAAAATTTCACAAAGCTTCCACTTTAGAATTTCTATGCCATTTTTTAATCTGGTGTGTGTGTATGTGTGTGTGAGTGTGAGTGTGTTTGTGTGTGTGTGTGTCTTTTTTCTTTTAATTAAACAAGCAGTTCCTCCCCATTTAATTCTTACTAGGTGGCAAATTACAGAACAGACTGAGAATTTCAACCTTCTCTGATTTTGCGCATTGGAATTTCAGCATATTTTGATGTGTAGGTAGTAGAGGACAGTGAAAAGGTCAAGGCTAGAATGCAAACCTTGAGTTTTCATGAACAATTAGAATCTGGTTGCAGTTTTGCCTTCTAGTTTCCAGAAGCAGACATGTGTGGTACAAAACCACCAGGGAACTTCTTAAACGCGTAGAGTCTACCTTAACACCTCATTCCTATATGGTTCAGTATGTCTAATGAGGGACCTGGTCAAATGCATTTTAAAGAATCACCCCAGGTAATACAGACATTACATTTCCAGAAAGACTAGGAGTAGGCTGGAATGGTCATGTCTGCATTCAAATTCAGGTTCTGCTGCTTAATTAGCTGTGTGAGTTTGAGCAAATTCGCCAATCTTCTTAATGTCTTTT